TGGAATGAAGTTCTTTAGTATCTGTGAGTATAATAATTTATGAAATTTTGATCCGTATTTTAATTGAGAAGAGAAGTTGGGCCAATTTTTTTCCTAAGCAAGTGAAGTCAATTATTTTTAGACCCCCCCAGTTATTTTCTTTAGTATCCAATCTAAATTCTTACAAAAGCCTTCAAGTGCTAGAGCATCGCACCGTGCATCGCACGGGAGAAAGACTAGTATGGCTTTAAAATGGCAATACAGAAAAAGATACGAGAGTTTTATTTTTTTGACAGATGCTTCTCTGCTGTAAGAATCCATATGTAACTCGACTTGATGAAAATCATAAATATTGATGGTGCACGAAATAAAACTAGATAATGGACGTGTTCTATAGTAGGAACATAGAATTCCAACAAACAGATTAACAAACTATACCTCGTTTTCAATAAATTTGGGGTCAGTAACATAAATCCTTATACTCCACCACTAGATCCTTAACCACTAAATCATATGCCAATTGACTAAGTTTTACGCTATACGTCAACCCACCACATCCCTCGTTTACACAGGCTTGGATCTTGGCTATAAAATTAATAGAAACACATCTTCGAGCAATTTTAAACGATTATTAAAATCTTGAATGCTGATATTCTGCTTCATCAAAGAAGATACATACAATGTTGTTAGACATTTGTTTTCACATGAAACGCACATGCACTCTTCTAGGATTAATCTGTTATATTATTTTCTATTTTTCGTCAACTATGTTCATATTGTTAAAATAAATTGAACCAAAGCATCTTACCATCTAACCATGTTCAAGACCCAAGCTCAATTTTGAAAGTCAAGCTTCATAAAGTTGAGGGTATGCAAATGAATGTTGTAACATTGTGTGTTTTAGGAAAGAGACTCACAATCACTTTTGAATAATCGAACTCTAAATTTCAAGACACAAGCTCAATTTGGAAAGTTAAACAGGCTTCATAAACTTGAGCGTGTGCAAATGAGTGTTTAATTTGGTACCATCTTTAACTTGTATGTTTTAACAAAGAGGCCAACATTAATATTTTCAAACAAAGTTTCGTAAAATGTCATACTCACTTTTCAATCAATCGAAGTGAACCCGTCCAAATAATCACATTTTACTATAAACTCAAAAGTTCAACTCGGAAATTTAAACAAGCTTTATAAATTCGGGCATATGCAAATTAATACTGAAATAGTTACGAGTCTTGTTATTATTTTTATCCGTTACTTGTTTACGAGTATATAATAAAATACGTAGGTACAAAACATTCTTTTAAATCATTTTTTTCTCTAAATTCATTTGGATCTGTATATTTTTTGAAATAATTTTATATGCGAATCAAAAAATTTCTCTAATTTTTAGTTATGCCTTCAAAAAGAATCATTTTTACAAAATTCAATGGGTTAAAACATGAGCATATTGTGTTAGGTTTCTTAAAGTCGTTTATTACGTGAAGCAGCAGCAACAGCTGCTCGGCAAGAAGAAAAAGAACAGCAAAATAATTGTCGCCATTTACAGCTCTTAGGTCAGTCCTCGCCACATCCCTCTTTCTCTCTCTCCCTATACATATATGCACATATAATTCTTGATACATACATGTTTATGAATTTATTTCAGCTTGTGGAGATTTTTAATTTGGTTTTTTTTCCTAAATGAAGTTGTGTAGATTGGGTTTTTTTTATTTGTTTTGATGGCTTCGAAAAGGATCTTGAAGGAGCTGAAGGATCTTCAGAAAGACCCTCCTACTTCTTGCAGCGCTGGTACTGTTTGACTCCCTTTTGTGATTTTTTTGATTATTTGTAGGGTTTTGTTTATGTTTTATTTTTTTATTTGGTTTGTATGTTGTTTGATCGTTTCAAGATTTGATCTGTGACATTTTGATGGTTAGGATTATTTTGATTAACATTTTGGCTTGTGGGTATACATGTATTGGTTCTTTTGATCATTTTTGGGTGGTATAAAATTTAGTTTGCTTTTAAATATTCGTGAGTATACGAACTTGATGCTTCATACTTGTCAAGGCGGCCTAAACATGAAGACAGTAAGTGTAAGATATTCCTTTTAACAAGGTTGACTTTTAAGATTGAGTTCCAAGACTATAATACTGTACAAAGAAATTTTGTGCTTTTGGGTTTTGTTTTAAGAATTTAATTAGTTTATAAAAGTGTATGGAAAATGGTGTTTCTATGTGAAACATCAATGTTTTATTTTGTGCTTACATCACACATGGATGATACAGTTGAGCATGTTGTGCTTCTATACTCCATGGACCGCTTAAGTACATGAGAATTTGGTGTATGCAGCAGTTCATTTAATACTTTTCACTATCTTCTTTTATCGAAGATGTATATCATTCAAGAATTAAGTTCTGAACTTGACTGTGTGTACTAGATTACAGCAATTTACTTATTTTCTTGTTTATAGCAATTTTGTTGTAGTATTTCTACTGTTGGGATGTAATTTTAAAGCTTGGAAGTGAAATCTTGACATTAAAAGTTCTAATTTTAGTATACTTTTTCTCATGACTCCATTTTTGAATCTTTGATTGTATTTGAACAAACAAAGAGTTGCCATTCTTCTACATTTTTATCATATATGCCAAGACAGACATCTATTTTTTGGATTTTCCTTTGTGAATCAATTGTGTGCCTTCACTTACAACAACTACCGGTCTCATATATTATATGTAATAACTCAATTATGATATATTATTTTGTTTAATTGTTCTTTGTCATCGCAAGAAGTGAATGTGATATTCCTTTAATTTTTATGCATGTTAACAGGACCATTTGGTGAGGACATGTTCCATTGGCAAGCAACAATAATGGGACCCCAAGAGAGTCCTTATGCTGGAGGAGTGTTTTTAATTACCATTCATTTCCCTCCTGATTACCCATTCAAACCTCCAAAGGTACGGCGTTAAGATTTTGAAAAGTCATAATTTAGAAAAGAAGAAAGTGTCACCTGCCTGCCCAACTTCTTGATCTCATACTGTAGCTCTCAATGGCGCTGTTTTTTCAGTTTTGTGTTTATGAGCTTACTTTTTGCAGTAATGTACTAATGCCTTTGTTGTAGTGGACTGCAGGTCATAGATCCACAGTTTTTTTTCGGGAGTGAAATTCATGAACGGCTATACATTTTCATTGTTTGGTTTGAAATTATGTTCTGTTGCTACTATTTGTATTTGTGTTAAAAGATTGATGGGATTTACCTACCAAACATCTTTGGATGTATTAGTTTTTTCTTATTAGTTATTAAACATAGAAAAGTTACTTATTTTAAAAGTAACTCTTACTTTCCCTGTCAAAATAAGTAACTTATTTCGACTTTAACCAATAATTTTTTTATTTTTTTTGTTTTGAAACTTACTTATTTACTGAAAATTTAACTTTTTAAACTTATTCAAATTCTCAGTAGCTTTATAACTCTGTATGAAGCTTAGATTTATCATCAACATTGCCTATGTATAGTCTGAAGATCATTTCTCTACATGATAAGAAAGGCTGGTTTAAGAGAATCAGTGCAGCTGTTTGTCTAGTGTTGTAGTCAAATATTGGACACCAAGTCCATTAGAAGGTTTACATATAATGTAAAAAAGTTGAAGGTTGTCAGAACATGCATGTAGTAAGTCTAATAAGGACATGATCATATCAGAGTTGCATTTCGAAATAGCATAGCTATATATGATATGTGAATTAAGAGTTCTAGTTAATGTATTTCTTCATTTACCCGCTTTTTCCTTTTTTGCAGGTTGCATTCCGCACCAAAGTTTTTCACCCGAATATAAACAGCAATGGCAGTATTTGCCTGGACATCTTGAAGGAGCAGTGGAGCCCAGCCTTAACAATTTCCAAGGTTATTTTCTTCACTTTGGTGCTTTCTTGTTATATAGTGGACGCTAACTTTAGCCTTTATAACTTAAAATGAGTTATGACCATGATAATAATGCATTGTTTCTCCAAGATATTTCATAGATCTTTGCTAACTGACATGAGTTTAAGTTTTAAGCATAGGGAGTACTTCATTCTTTTCCCATTTTTATCCTTGTATGGCTTTTCCTGAAAAGAGAAGCTGTGGTGATCCCCCTAGGTTATAAGAAAAATCAACCTTAGCAACCTATTTGCATTATATTTTCCCCAAAGTAGTCTGTCAAATTACCATCACTCCAACCTCTAAATTGATTGAGAGGAGAATGAAAGAAATGAAATTTTCGGCCATGATGCATTTGCATCTAATGGTAAATGGGCTCATGGATTGGTGTTTTTTTCCCTATTGGAGTATACTGATGATTGTTATCTATGGCATTGGTGGTGATTTTTGGTGTCAATTGGTAGATCTAGGCAAGAGTTTAACATTGGAGGCTGTAGAGGCAGTGGTTTTAGAGTTTTGGCGGTGCCAATCCTAATCATTGAAAGACTTTGCTGGTTATAGTGATACAGTTTGGCAATCATAATAACCAGAGGTTGTATTGTGTCTTTGCCTCAGGGTAGTTCTTTCTACAATGTTAGGATGCCCATTTCCAATACTTCCTCCATTTTGTTTTGGCAGAGTGACTTGTTTTGGTTTTGTAGGTAGAGCTCTGAGTTGACATTTCTATGATTCATCCTAAAGACAAGTGGCGCCAACCCTACCCTTCCCCCCACCCCATCTCACACTCTCTCACTCAGTGATAGACATTAACCTGCATCTTGCATTATCACTGCCAACTTATGAAGCTAGTTATGTCCCCTCAAACGAAAAATTAACCTCCAATTATTTACCATAATTTCCCTAGAAGCCAAATTAAAAGAATCATCTGGGCAGACCTCTTTTGTCCAAATATTCTAAATCAGACGAGTTGATTAAAGAACCTGGAAAAATCTCCTTTTCTTATCAAAACCGCAGACTGAATGATCTGCAAGTAGAAAAACTTACTTGTCCAAAGTAAGGGAAAATGGATCAATCCTTCCTTCCACTACCAGATATATACTTCGGAACATATCCAGGTTGCAATATTATTTTATGGCTTCAAGTTATGGTGCAGAGGATTGAGTGTGAACTCTTGGTACAGTGGTTGAAGATATGAACTGTGGTGGCGGCAGATGTCTTTGTGGTGGAACTGGTGAAAGCAGAAACGGTGATGGTCTTGCATATATGAGGTGAAATTGTGGTGGTTATGGGCCAGTGACAGGATGGTGGCTATGTTATCCGTCTGGTACAAGGCAGATTGCATTTTGATGTTGGGGTTGAGGGTGGAAGAAATGGTCCAAAGATCTGAAATTGGAAGAAAGCATTTCGACTTGTAGTATCATCATTGCTGGTTCCATTTCTATTTTGCTTTTGCTTTTGTAAAGAGTGATGTGGGGGCAGACTTTAACCATGAGTACTTTTGGGAACAATGAGTAAAATATATGTTCACTTTAAGCAAAAACGGTGAAAGCATCCAAAGAAAAGGAAAGGAAGCCAATCTTTGCGAAACAGAGTATTACTTGGGATATGCTTAACTGAATGTACTAACAATATCACACATCTCCTTGCTCTGCTATCACTTGATATTTGCACAATGCTAAGATTGTTATAAAGGCAGCCTTAATTTGTTTAGCTACTGTGTATGTTTGTTTGATACAATAAGCCAGTACCTGTAATAACAAACTAAGGCAGCCGATTTTGAGCAGTCTTCCAGAGATTTTCTGTACCTTTGCAATCTCTTGAAGAGAACCGACCCTCTCTATCTCTGAATACTGCTCAGGCTAGACACTCCTGAATGTGGTCACTTTTAGGATTTCTAATAACTAGAATATGGGGATCAAACACAAAAGTATTATATGATCAAGGACATTGCCTAGACAACTTTTCAACAACCTAGAGCAATTTATCCAAGTCAAGTATAACGAGACAAAGCAAATGTGAATAAATCTTCTCCCGTAGGGGGAATAAATCACATAGGCAAATTCAAAGATCCATTATCATTAAAATAGAGATACTCAACATTCGATCTAGAACATTTTCCCCCTAATTTGAAGTATTACTTGAAATTGAGAAATTTTCTAGTTATTTATTTCAAGCCTTGAATAGGAATAATTTCGCCACCAATCACTGCTAGATTACAGTGACCGTGAATGCCTCTATTCGGGGTTTGGAAGCTTATAAAAGGTAAACCTAAAATGTCTCTATCCGATGTAATTTACTACTTGAAGATTTGGGTGAAAACTTGAGAGAATGTTATATTTGTTTTAGTTATACTCGACTTTGTCCTGTGGTTTTTTCCCTCTACACTCGAGGGTCTTCATCAGAAATCTTGTGTGTCTGTTACTATGATATGATCATCTCTCTAATACGATGAAGAATGTATCATTAATGGGATATTTTCGATATATGGGAGATTCAAATCACTCAGGGTTATTGCAATGGGTTGTTGAAATTATTTCTTTCCCATTGATGTGATAATTTTTTTGTACTTCATTTCTTCGATCACGTATTTTTGTTATAAAAGAATAGTCGCAATTCCCTTCCGTTGCCATGGATTTGCTTTTGTAGAATTTGATACCTGAGATGGGTTTTTTAAATGTGTGCATGATGTTATTTCATTAGATTCCATTTCTTAAGGTTAGAATCTAACTCCTTATACTTTCCAGGTGTTGCTCTCGATCTGCTCACTTTTGACGGATCCGAACCCGGATGACCCCCTAGTACCAGAAATCGCTCATATGTACAAGACCAACAGGGCTAAATACGAGCAAACTGCTCGAAGCTGGACCCAGAAATATGCTATGGGTTAGTGTGATTTACCTATCAAGCATTGCATGCATTATGTAAAAATTATTCAGTTTGCTCTTTGTAATGGACAAAATGTATCATAGAGCTTCGAATCGTTGCCTAGTAAAGGACTGAATTCATGCATTTTAATTGTTCATATCAGATTATCATTGCAAAAGACTGGATATTGTCTGTTGGTCTTGGTTTAATGTGTAATGATTCTGTAACCCTTTATTTTGATTGAGAATATTAACTCGTGTTCGCATGTCTAATGCACGTACATTGTATGCACGCATTGGTGGGTCGTGCCCTTGACGTGTGAATGTCTTGGTATAATACGTGACGTTCACATGTGCGGTATAAAATGTGCACTCTGGTAGCAGATTTGTAAACCAATGGGTTGAATGCCTTCGGATTCTATTTGTCAAAAAAATTAATAGAGCAAATAATCATTAAGTGAAACGGTATGGAAGTCGGTGATTTGATAGAAATCAATATATGTTGGTGAATTATCGACTTCAATACCGCTGGTGTTCACCAACACATTCTTCATCTATATGTTCTTATGTGATTTGATTCCAGCTTTATTGGAATACTGAATTTTCTTCTCCATAAGGTGTTTCTTGCTTTTGCCTTGGTGACATGATTTGCTGCACCAGGTGTAGATGCCATCACCGTTGCTATAAAAAAAAAAAGGTGAAACCACAAAATCTTTAACCTGAATTGGTGATGTGAAAAAAATAAAATTAAAATTGTGTGGACCAAAATTCTTATGCGTGAATCCCCCAACTTATGAGAAATACCCTACTTTTTGGCCAAACATGCCGACTACGAAACTATCCTTGCAGACAAAGAAGACAAGAAGCCAAACACAGTTGAAGCCAACTTGCCAAACATCGCCTTATGTTTTCTGTGAAAAATTAATTCTTTTTGAGAATGTGTAATTAAAGTAGGAAAATTATTTTGTTGAGAGTGTTGGAAAAAATAAAAATCAAACAAGTAAGAGTCTGTTTGGGCATGATTAAAATCTGATTTTAATCTAAATTAAAGTCAAACAATTAATATTAACATTTTTCATGGGTCTCACATTTTTTCAACCGTACATTTCAAAAATTTCAATCATAATCTACTAAAAATTTAATTTTAATCTCCACCAAACATCCTCTAAATCTGAGCGCCGTTTGAGTCTCATTTTTGATCAATAATGTATTTTGAAATGTTAGATTGATGGAGAATGTATAGTTAAAAATAAAAGAAATTAAATTTAAGTGTAATATTATTTTATTGAAAAATTTGTGATGAATGAAGAAAAAGAAATGCTGATAAAACAGGGCACAGTCATCACTTTGACCACCAATGTGCCTTGTTTCCACGCCACGAATGACGAAATCTCACACGTTTGCATTGCAAAACAATTTTTCTTCCTCCTTCTCCATGCAAAATATATATTTAACCCAAATAAAGGATAAAAAGTTATTGTATTCCTTCTAGTTTCCTTTTCTGCCGCATAACCCATACAAAATTTCCCATTTTCACTCCAATTGATGGTGGGTTCAACAAGGCAAAGCCTGCCTTCATGGATTGGAGCAGTAACGGCAACAAGAAAAGCGGAATTAGAACAAAACGTAAATAATATGGTAAAAGAGGAGCCTTCTGGCAAGAAACAGCACCAGGAAATGTCAAAATCCCAACTTTCGGATGAGAATTTAGGGTTTGGAGAGAGGGTTTTTTCCGCCGCCGGAGCCGCCTTCCTCTCCGCAATCATCGTCAACCCTCTTGACGTTGCCAAGGTTTTTGTAGTATTTTTTTATTTCGTGTTTTATGATTAATATTTTGAAATAAACATTTGTCGATTCCAATATGAATGTTTAGAATAGCTAGGCCATTATGGAGTTTGTCTATTTTCCTTTCACCGTTTTTTAATCCAATCGAGGAAATCTTGTACTTTTTCCGCATTTTAGTTGGCTTTTATTCATCTTGTTGATTCCGAAACTTAATTTGATTGTTTACATTGGATTCTTTTCTTCTTGTTCTGCTTGAAGCATTTCCACTTTCTGCAGCTTTCTTCATTGAACATCTGTACTTAATATGATCCATTTGATTCTCTTTCTTGGTGCTTATCTTCATACTCATTAGTGAATTTTTGTGAACTCGTGCAGTAATTTGGGAATTTGCTAGGAGACTTTTGAGTCACTGCCAGTGTGTATATATAAACGAAAATGATTACAGTTTTGTGGAATAAGCAATAGACTATAAGTTAAAAATGGAATTTCAAAGTTTGATTTTTGTAACTATCAGTATATCATTTAATTGATAAATATTATGTTTCAATTTGAATTTTTGGGTTCTTCGTTGATGTTTGGCTTTTTCCCAGATTAGGTTGCAAGCTCAGGCTGCTGGTGTCCCTTATGATGGTCTATGTCAAACAGCTTGCTTCGATACGAATGCGGTACGCCAACCATACAAGTCTTAGATTTTCCCTTTAAATATGGTTATGAAATCATGAAATCGACAAAAGAACTAGCCAAGCATGGGTCATATTTGTTGTCTACAGAAGTTTACGTCACTTTTCATCCCTCTTTCTTATTGCTCTCCCAAAGTATATGATAATGCACCATTGTCGACGTTATTCTTACACTTAATAGTCAATATCTCTTATAGTATTGACATTGGAGACTTAAGTAGTTCAACTTTCATGCTACCTTTTCCTGTCAAATAGAGTATTAAGTGAAGGATAACTTTTAAATTTGATAGAGCATGTCAGCATACTTCAATATTTAGAACTTCTTATGAGAGCAATATAACTCATTGCAAGATCCTTGATCATCAGATTACATGAATTATTATTTTTCTTGCAATCAAACTAAAGTACCTGCACCTATTCCTGTTAGTATGCGACACATATGGAACTTGTGTTTTCCGATATTAAATTATTTTCTGGAACTGTGTTCAGATGCTTCCAGATATGAAATATGACTCATCAGTCATTGCAAAGCAACCGAGATGCTCCCCTGATTGTTCACGTTACAAGGGAACATTCGATGTATTCTACAAAGTTGTGCGCCAGGTTAGTGATGTTCTGATGGAATCATGGAAGTAACATTAATTCAATCATATCTCTGTTGAAGGAAAAGAAAATGTGACGTTATTTTGTTGGTGTAGGATATGCATATGAGCACTGCATTGCTATGAATTTCATAAGAAAGATCATGAAACTATCTCATCGATATTTTTTACACGCATTGGTTTTGAATCTGAAATTCATTAATTGGCAATTTTGCTATCAGTTATTGATTTTAGTCGAATGGATGTAATTATAGGGAATTGGCTAGCATCAAAATCATAATTACATAAGTTTCAAAGGGTTGTTCCTTTACCTTGTTCCATCTTGGTGCAATATTTTGCTGCCCGCTTTGAGACATCTAAGCCAATTTAAGAGCTTTAACTGATGCTCCATTGTTTGAGAATAGTTTAATTGAAGTTAGTATATGATTTTTATTTTTTTTTATTGCATGTTTGGCTAAACAAAAATTATAATTTAACTTGGCCAAACATAATTGTTATCCATACATTTCGTAAGACCCACAACTATTACCCACTTACTATCCGTAGGTTCTGTAAGATCCATAGCTTATAAGCACTACAATACATATTCTTAAGTACATTATGCATCATATTTACAAAGCGTGCAGGCACCCTGTTATGTATTCATTGTCAAATCATTTGTCTAATCATATGGAATTCTGCAGGAAGGATTCACAAAACTGTGGAGAGGAACTAATGCCAGTTTAGCTCTGGCAATCCCTTCTGTAAGCTTCCTTTGTGGAAATCAACCAGATGTTGATTCAAGGGTTTTTATATCATGGGAAAATGATTCAATTGACTGCTCTTCATTTAAAACAATACCAAGCTAAGTAATATTTGCAGGTGGGCATCTATATGCCACTTTATGATATTTTTCGCAGCTACATGGAAGTTCTTACGAGACAGGATGTCCCGATTTTGACACCATATGTTCCCCTAGTTGCTGGCTCCTTAGCACGCTCAGTAGCTTGTATCACTTGTTACCCTATTGAGCTTGCAAGAACACGCATGCAGGTATGTTCGTGTTTCATGTTATAATTTTAGGCTAGGATTATGTTATTGCAGAGTGTTTCATCTTATTCATCTTATGCTATTCCTCAATGACAATTGACTGCAATCACTATCGTCATTGTTTTCTTATTCAAATTACAAACAAGTTCATACTCACCATAACTTCACCTATCTTTAATATCATAACCAATTTCATCGCTTCCCCTCGTATGTTTCTGTAGAACACACTGTTCTGGCACTATTTTTTCTTTGCTTAATTAGTCTCCTTCCCATCTTTTGTTATAGGTGTTCAAACATAGCAAAGCTGGTGTGAAGCCCCCAGGTGTTTGGAATACTTTGAATGGAGTTGTCTGTCCTGTGCAGAGTGCAAATAATCATCAATCTTGTACGATTCGAAATTTTACTTTTATGCTTTATGTATTGCTTTCATGGCCTTTTGTTGCAAATTATGAAAAGACATTAAAATTTAGCATCAAAGATGTAATTTTACGTGTCTAATATTTAGTTTAGCAGGCACAAATATAGATTATTTTTTCATATGTTCTTTCTTCTCACTAGATTTTTATATGAGAGCAATAACCTTCGAAGTGAAATTCCAATCGCATAGCTATACTATGGATAATTTGGTATCTGTTAAAACGATAAGTCTTATTCTTTGTAGGCATATAATCGACACGGGTAGCAAAATTCATTTGCTATCTTCGGTAGACAATTTTTAGTTTAAAATTTTCCTTTTTTGTACAAACGTGCTCTGCTGGTTAAAGTTTCACATCCAGAAATATTTTTTTAAGTGCAACTGTTTTTTTTCTGCTTCTTAGATTTAAGTCTGTAGTTTGATGTTTTGTCCTATACTTCTTTTGTCATTGCATTCATCTGCACAATGATCGGGGTGATGTAATTGGGAAGTAGTTCCAATTTGTAGTAGTACAAAGATACCGCTTCTTATGGACTGGCCTTGGAGCACAACTTGCCCGTGATGTTCCTTTCTCTGCTATTTGCTGGTCATCTCTGGAGCCTGTGAGATAGCTCATTTTGTACAGTCTTTTGCTTAAATAGATTTAGATTTTAGGATATTTTACTCTTGCTACTTTTCTGCAGCTTAGAAGAAGAATTTTGAGCAGGATAGGAGACAAAGCTAGTGTGTCCAGCGTCCTTGGGGCAAACTTTTGTGCTGGTGTTGTGGCAGGAAGCCTTGCAGCTGCTGCCACGTGCCCTCTAGATGTTGCAAGGACCCGGCGGCAGATCGAGGTTGTTTCTCTTTATTATTTGATTAAAATTAGCATTGTTCATGAATCAAAAACTAAACACTACAAAGGAAGAGTGATATTTCTTAGAGGGCTTTGATTAAACGTAGCAATAAATGGTTGAACATAAGGATAGTTAACACCTAGATGGGTCTAGTTCAGAACGGGTAGTCTTTGCTCGAGAAGAGAGTCGTCTATAACCCCGAATGGTTTGTCTCACTAAATTATCAAACCTACTGCACATGTTTTATGGATAGGGGCATGGTTCAACAAATGCAGTAGATATACAGTTCCTTATCGCGTCTTAAGATTTATGAATATATCATTTTTGGCGTAAATAAAGTAGTGGGAAAGAACATGTGATGCTCGGATTTGGCATTCCGGCTAGCACACACGTGTTGACACGACATGTGTATGGGTGTGAAATATGGGGTGGACCCTTCAATTTTCTAGCGGGTATGTCATTTCTAACTTTTATTTTAATTTTGTGCTTTTGTCATTTAAATTCAAGCGATTTTTGGTGTTTTAGACTTTATAAATTTCTAGTTGGTTTTAATTAACATCTTTTGTCTTTAATAATTTGCCACTTAATTATTATTTAACTTTTTAGCCTCTATTTGGGGCATATTTTCAGCCCAAAAGAATGAAAGGACGTGTACCTTTTGAGCCTTTTTTTTTACCTCTCTCTCACAAGGTGGGGCCCACTAGCAGTACAAACGGTCATATTTTCACATGAAAGGACATGTGAATTTTTTAGAAAATAAAAATTGAAGTGTGCCAGTGTCCAAAATTCGGACTCTTTTTAGTCATGATCCCGTATCGTACATTTTAGAAAATAAACAATTTGACATTTAGATATATACCTGTACCGGTACCGGTACTTGATGCCCATGCCGATTCCGAGCATCATAGAAAAAAACATATGTGCATATGTGGTGCTCTAATTTTGTCATTAGTACCATCCAAATTCCTGGGCCAAAGTGGTGCCAAAGTTTGCAGATAAGGCCCCTGGGTTACAAAATTTCCCGCTTTCTGCTCTTCAATCTGATGTGGAATCAAATATGGGTTATTACATGTTCTGCTGCTTCTCCTGTCCCAAAAACACTGAAATTTTGGCCATCTATATAATAAATCCTCGTTTTTCTCTGCTATTTGATAATTATTGCATTGGAAAGGTCTGAGATTTATGCTACTGAGTTAATGGTTTATATTTTTGATTTTCAGAAAGACCGCATGCGGGCATTGACAATGACCACAAGACAAACCTTGATTGAGATCTGGAGGTATGCATTGAGAAATCTCATCTTTCTACTTTTGCACCTCTGTTTATGTAAATCTATATGATTGACATTGTGTGTATTCGCTTGGCCAGATAGTTTAGATGCTAGACCTATTCACAACTATCAAAGCGTATATAGTGCCTATACTCTAAGAAAATGCCATGTGGAGGAACATTTCTGTCTTCCACCCTTTGTTTGCTGTTCATTCTAGGTGTCTTTTTGCAACGTAGACGAGGGTTAGCATCATGAATTGATGTGGGACTTGAAAAGAAAGCCTTTGACAGGATCAATGCCGTCTCGATTGTTAGTTTATGCTTATTCTTGTTCTTCCATCCACGGTTTTAGGTAATAGACCCCACATGTTTGGTTCTTGCCAATCAGTTGAGCATGTTTGTTTGCATGCCATTTTTTTGTGGTCAAGTTTCTTGCGACTTTTGTCATCAGCTTTCTTTCTTTTATCCTTTCTCGTTGGTTGGCACAAGGACCTTACTTCCATTCTTATGATTGATTATGTAGTGGAAATTGGAGCTCAGATATCCATAGAATGGGTTTAGGGATTAATTAACTGGGATGATGTGTAATCGAACACCTTGATGGAGAAAATTTACCATTTCCATCATAATTTGCCCTACAACTATATAAGCTCTGTTGGGCCCGGGCATTTTTTAGAGTTACTAAACTAATTCTTGAGTTTGTAAATCCAGGGATGGAGGTTTGAAGGGACTATTTACTGGAGTAGGTCCACGAGTTGCTCGAGCCGGCCCTTCGGTCGGGATTGTGGTTTCCTTTTATGAGGTGGTCAAATATTCATTGCAGTACAGAAAATCGGGGTAAAACAGTTCTCTCTTTCCAGGTCAGTTGGAATAAGCTGCACGGGTGCAATAGAATAATAAAAGAGCAAATGTACAGGTTTGATGTTGCATTTATTTGAAGGATAAAGTATATTTATAAAAAAATTTGGCTTATAAGAGGCTGATTTTGGGCAAAATTCTTGTCTTTAGGCAGTTCTTTAGAGTGTGTGAGAAGAGAAACAACTAAAATTTGAAAAAATTGACATGTGAAGAAGACGAATATAGAGTAATCGGCTGATGCTTTTGAGTCTGGTAATTGGGTGAATTTTATTCGCATCAACTATAATTATACTTAGTGACACAGGTAATTGTACTTTAATTTATTCAATCGATTTCACCACTTTAATTTGATTTTAATCAAGGTAATTTTGTTCAATTTCACTTACAAAAATGATGATGATCATATATAACCATTAGTTGTTGATGTGGAGTACGTAATTCAGGTGAAATAAATGATAATTATAATTTATTGATTGTCATGTTATTGCTTTTCATCTGTCCAAGTAAAGAAATTGTATGAAGTTATTCAATTGAAATCAAATTAAAGTATTAATAATTATTCGATTAAATAAAATTAATATATAATTACTTGATTTGACACAAGTGAAAGTATTATAACCCCTGTTTGGTGTACATTTTTTCCCTAACAATGCATTTTTTTAATGTGATGGGGTTGAAAAAGAAGGAAAAGTTATTGATGTGATGGAAAATATTATTTTATTGAATAATGTATAGTTGAAAATAAGTAGAAGAATGAAAATGAAAAAATAATGTGGCTCAAACATGGGTGAAGTTTTTACTCCCATTAAATGTCATCCTCGGTCACTGAACTTTTAATGAAATCTTATTGGATTACTAAAGTTCAATTTCTCTTAGGCCATGTTTGATTGTATTTCAATTTCGTGGAAGATGAAAATTAAATTTCATTTTTCACCTTTTTGAATGTTTGATTGCACAAATTTTCCATGTAACTGGTTTTTCATGTTTCACCTACATGCTCACATTTTCTTGATTTTTCATGTTTCACCTAGGTAACTTTTTATTTTTTATTTTAAAAAAAATTATTTATTTTTTTGGCAATGAAAACAAATAATATCCATTTAATGGACAATTTTCATAGAAAATAAAGTTAAACGAACATCAAAAGATTCAAAATTTCAATATTTTTCAGATGAAAAATTATACTAATAAAAAATAATTAATTGACAATTCTCAATAAAATAAATTCTAAGCAATGCAATTTTCTGGAATTCATTTTCTTTTCATCCAAATTTCATTCTTATAATCAAACGGACCCTTAATATTTTAATGGGACGCTAAGCTTTCATTTAATTTTAATTTTCACATAATCTCACATTCGGTCAAGTATCATGTTTCAAATTGATAGAAATTGCTTAGTTAGCAGTATGAGTTAATACTCTAATTCCTTACGGTTATATTTGTACTATTTATATCTGAGTTTTATCATGACAAGGGAGAGGGGGAAAAAAGAGAACAAAATTACAATTATAAAATTTGGAGAAAGAATTTGAATTTAAACATGAAATAATAAGACAATTAATTGTAAGCTCAAATTCTTAACACAAATAATAACTATTCTAAATTATAAAATTAAAAAAGGGTGTGGATCAAATACGTAAGCACTAAAGCCACCAGCATCAGCACATATGCAATCCCTTGGTCAATTGAAGTTCCTGATCGATCACAAATATTTATATGTTCAAACTTCTATTCACAGAATAAAGCTCAAAGAAATTGTAAAAATTATAGAAAATTAATAAACTATGAAATTTGAATAAAACAAAATTATATTAGAAAAAACATTCGTGAATTGAATTAAATTGAATCACGAAATCAAATCTAGAACTGCTTTTCAGAAAAAGTTTAAATGTGAGATCCACACACACACACACACACACACACACACTTCGTTGAAGAATTCTGAGAAATGTAGATTATACACATACCATCGCTAGCAGGAGGAGGAGCAGGAGCCATAGCCTGAGCTTGAGCACAGGGAAATACAGAGCTCAAAACAATGGCTAAGACGCTCATCAATCCAATCAAAACCCTAGACGTTGCCATATTCTCTCTGTATTTTTGTAAGTATATATAAAAATGGGATAGAATATTTGAAAGAAGTGGGGCTGGATTGGATTGTGATGGAGATATTGAGGAGGCACTGTGTATATATAGACAGAGAGCGGCAGCCCACTCTGTCAGGGGCCCACACCAGCCATGTGCCACCTCCGCCAATCATTCCACCAGCCTGTCTGATACTCGATTGAAATGACGAAGATACCCCACGATTAACGGATATAAAATCTAATAAAAATTTGAAATTTGAAATTGAGAATGCCATTTGACTAATTGCAATTGTTTATAGTAATACGAAAACTATTCTCTTCAATCATACTCTACTAACTGCAAACTAATATGATGAGATTCTGTCTAATTAGAATCCAACGCATTAGTTAGTGGCTAATAATCATCCAATGGTTTAATTTGAGGTTGTATCGATATGCTTTTTGACATGATCGATATTGTTTAGTCGAGTCAAACTACGTTAATAGGCTAGAGAAGTGGAAGACCTAACATAATCCATGACACACCGGGCAAGTCATCTAGCCCAACACATTCTTAGAAGAATTAAACTTGCGTTATAGAACAAATCATCTCGAACCACCAAGGTCATCTCCAACATTATACCAAAATTTGCGGTAAGTTTTGCACCATTTTGCATCAAATCTTGCACCTAACTGAAATTATTTGCAACCTGTTACGCCAAAACTTATATCGAATGAACAATGTTTAATCATTTTCTTCATTTTTTGATTTTAAACAATTTATTTATTTGAAAATTTTACAACTAAATAAATATTAATTTAAATTAAAGAAAAATATTAAATTCATTAATAAATTTAAAAAATATGGTGATGTATCTTTTTTTTTCTTAAAACAAATCTAGAGTGATGTATGTATGTGATTGTTGTGATATACTTCGTGCTAACTTTAAATAATCGTGTTTGTTACATTTTAAAATTTTCTGAGTAATCTAATTTTAATTAATTCCTTAAATTATTAAACAAAATAATAAAAATAATAATAATAATAATAATAATAATAATAATAATAATAATAATAATAATAATAATAATAATAATAATAATTTATTGTATTAAAAAAAGTATAACAAACAATGGACACAATAACTCTTAACCAATTTTATTTTACAAAGTGAAAAAAGGCAAAATTGTACTTAAAACCATTTTGGTGCAAAATGATGCTACATTGGAGGAAATTGGCACCATTTTTTGGTGTACGCATTGGAGTTGCTCTAAGCCCTTGTTCGAGCTCCATTTTTTCAAAACTCATCTTCAACCACATTCTTCAATAAAATAATTTTCACTCAAATCGATTTTTTCTTATTTTTTAATCATACATACACTAAGAAATCACTATTCTAAAAGACATTTTTTCCCAAAATGGGGCGGGGCTCAAACAATACTTAGGTCATGACTTCTCAAACACCAAGTGATTAAGAGAAACAAAGTGCATTGTTGAAGCACTTGGTATGGTGTTTTGAGTTGTTCGGGATCCAAAGTGTCATGATTTGAGCGAAGAGTCATAGCACGTATGTATTTGAGACTGTTCTATTGAAAATTATGGTTGAGCTTCCTAATATTTTAATTCGTGAAGTTTTTAAATCACTAACTTGTATACATATGGGGTTCCCAAATGACAAAAACACTCAACATGAACGTTGTAGTTGCACGTGAAACTCACGTTCACCTTTTAATTTTGTACGCACTCACCATTCAACTTTAAATCATGTAAGTTTGGGCCCTATGTCAAATTTGCCCTTAGTGGATTAGGCGGATCCAAAAGTGTGGACGGCCCAACTAGGATGATTGGTACCCGCTGAGGCCCAATAATGTGCCTAGCTAGTTATCGCGTACAAATGCTAAATATTTCTCGTATAAGGTCTCTAATGTATAATAAAATATAGAGTCTGTTTGGTATAGATTTTTATTTTCTACAGATCAATTCTCATTTCAACCGCACATTTTTCAATAAAATAATATTTTCCATCACATCAATACTTTTTCCTTCTTTCTCAATCACACATTTCCTATCATATCACTATTCAAAAATCAATTCTTCCTCAAAAAATCCCTACCAAACACACTCATAATTATATGGTTACAAATAACCATAAAGAAAATAATTTTGTTGATTAGACAATTATACTAAAAGAAAAATAATCAAAGACAATTTAAAAATTTGTTCTAAATTAACGAAATATTAGTATAAATGAATAGTCAAATTTCAAGATTTCAAGAATGATGTTTATGTCAAAGATAAAAATTCATTTGAATTAAATACGACAACAAAATTCAACATATTAGGGCTTACATTTCAAGATGCAACTTAACTACACATATCTTACATTCTAGTCATCATCTTATCATTAGCTTACATGATTAAGATCTTTCTTGCCACATTTGATCTCCAAATCCACTAAAGAAAATAACAAATCAAACTGCAAAATTCAAGTCATTGATGAAAATAAGTACTTTTATATTCATATATTCCATTTGTTCAACAAGCCCACAAGAAAGCTCCCATGGCAAACTTCCTCTTCTGGTTCACATCTCCGGTCACTGGCAGCCCATATTCGGCGAGGAGGCAGTCGACCTTCCACTCAGGCATGACATCGTATTCTGCTCGGGTGTACTTGGGGTAATGTAACGGCATTTGAAAACCACACCATTCCGTTGCATGGTGGCTGTTGGTTGTGCCGCTGCCTCCTACACCACCACCACCTCCTCCTCCTCCTCCAACCTTAGCAATTGGCCTTGCAATGGACTCCATTCCCCCCTCCACTCGTTTTGTTTGTTACACTCTCTTCTCTTCTAAATTGTAACGACTAGTATTTGTTAAGAAATGTTATGACCCTTAATGCCATTTATAGTCACATATACATATAATATATATATATATATATATACAGTTATGATCTAATGAGCACCGGTGCGCATCTTATCCTAAACACCAATGAGTTGGCACATTAATTCATTGGTGGATTGGAACTCACAAAATCTTTATCCACCAATGAATT